TTAGGATTGTTTCAGGCCAAGATCGCCATGCAGAAACAGATTCTGTAAAACTTAGCGGGATGGGGTTAGTAATTTTTCAGCCCGTGGCGTTTAATCGCGTTGTTCCTAAAGGCGTGCAGGCAAGAGACCTGGACTGCAGTTCTGGGAAAACGGGAGTCAAACACGTCGAGACGTAAACAAACAAGAAAGCAACACGCTGCGTTGCCATAACGCGGTTAAACTCCGCGTCCTGCTAACTGAAGTTCTGCTGCTTGCGCCAACAGGCTCCTGCTCTCCCCCCGCCACAACGTGAACACAACCCGTGCCCTCCCCAAAACCCTTCCAGCTTCGGCACAGCTCTACGGGACGTCAAACGGCTCAGGATTTAGCCTGCGGCAGTTTCACTTGGGGACGCAGCTCCTACACAGCAACAACAGCACTTTGGGATTTTTTTTTATAACTGAGAATTTAGGTACCAATGCACGCGTTAGACATTAAAAAAACCCACCAAAAAACTCCCACAAAAAAACACAAACCCAAAGCCACCCCGAACTCCTCAGCTTCATTTCAGAGCAGTGAAAAAACAGCACTGACTTACGTGCCTGAGCATTTACATGGTAAATACACAGCAGGAAACCGCGAGGCCTTGGAGAGAAGCTTTTGAGAAGCAAGAACTGATGACACGGCCCAATGAAATTACTCCTGGAATGCTGATGGAGAACTGTCTTGATTCAATAAAAAAACACCTTTTCTTCAAACTGCTCTCATCTTGATTTTCTTGATTCAGTAAAGAAACACCTTTTCTTCAAACTGCTCTCACCCGGCTGAGTAACTCCTGAGTAACTCTAGCTGCTTCTTAACAGGAGGGCAATTATTCTTCAGCACCTTTATTTCTACAGCTGACAGTTTCTACGCAAGTCTACAACTGCTTTGGCGTGGTGTGCTGTCTCGGAACACAGCACGTTCTCCTCACGCAGCCAACAATCCCATAAATACTTTTAGCAACAGGCTTCACCGTCTGGCAGGTTTGGGCATTATGTAGACTTTGACGGGCTTGCTGAAGGGAATGGTCCCCTCTATGCCATTTTCCGGTTGCGGGAGAGCCTCCAAGCTCTCATTCCAGGTAGATTTAGGAATTTTAGTAGATGCCTTGCTCCTGTTGGAATTGTAAGCCAGCAGCAACCGCACTTCGATCTGACACGGCTCTGTGGAGAGAAGAAAAGAGAACCACCTAAACAAGACTGTCATCACGCAGCGATCGACCAGCACGGAGTGAAATTCCCTCTCACGTACGCCGGGTAAAGCGCAGAGCTGCTCTGGGCTGGCCAGCATCCAGAAAACACAACTCTGCCGTGACGTTCAGCACAGCAGGACTAAGCATTGTTTTAGGTGCCTTGCTCGTGGATTTGTACTGATGGCAGGATCAAGTAAATCCAGATGGTGTCTGATAAGACTCACAGCACAGAGGATGACTTGAAATTTCTCTTCTGTTGGGGGTTTTTAAACTGCAAACCAGCCTTTTCCCAGCTTTCACCATCTCAGAAGCCAGACAGACATTCCCAATGCTGTCCATAATATGATTTCACTTTGTTCTTCTCCCAATGGTCATGAAAACCAGACTTTCAGTCTACACAGCATGACTGAGCAGTATGCTGGACTATATCCCCATCAAAGTTTTCCTTTCTAGACTGAAAAACATGATTCCTTCAGGTTCTCTGTATCGACTTCTGCTGGCTTTGACTGGGATAAGGATAAGTTTTCCTTCACAGAATCACAGACTGGTTTGGGTTGGAAGGGACCTTAAAGACCACCTAGTTCCAACCCCCTGCCATGGGCGGGGACCCCTTCCACTAGACCAGGTTGCTCCAAGCCTCATCCAGCCGGGCCTTGGACACTTCCAGGGCTGGGACATCCACAGCTTCTCTGGGCAACCTGTTCCAGGACCTCCCCACCCTCTCCAGGAAGAATTTCTTTCTGCTCTCCAATCTCAATCTCCCAGCTTTCAGTTTAAACCCGTTACCCCTTGTCCTGTCACTACAGGCCCTTGTAAAAAGTCCCCCCCAGCTTCCTTGTAGCCCCTTCAGGTACTGGGAGGGGCTATAAGTTCTCCTCGGAGCCTTCTCTTCTCCGGGCTGAACAAGCCCACCTCCCCCAGCCTGTCCCCATGGCAGAGGAGCTCCAGCCCTCGGAGCACCTCCGTGGTCCCCTCTGGATTCACTCCAACAGGAGCATGTCCTTTTCATGTTGGGGGTCCCAGAGCTGGACGCAGCACTCCAGGTGGGGTCTCCCCAGAGCAGAGCAGAGGGGAAGAATCCCCTCCCTCACCCTGCTGGCCACACTGCTCTGGATACAGCTACAGCTTCAGAGTAGCTAAACTTTGGATTCATGACCAAAACGTTGTTGACAACACAGGAGTTTTAGCTGTTGCTGAACAGTGCAATACCCACTAGTTTTCTCACTCTTAGCCTTCTGATTCTCTCCCCAATCCCACCGGGGCCAGAGGGAAGTGATTGGTCACCGGGTGCTGTGTGGGACTCAACTGTATACGGTGTTAACTCACAACAGGGCCACATTACCGAAACCTAAATGAAACCTGCTGAAAGTCACGTAATTTTAAGATGCCCAGACCTACAGCAATACCCTAGCCGAGACACCACCAGCACCAGAAATAACCTTTTTCCACAGTTACTCCCCCAGTTCAGCTGACAACTCCCCGAGAGCCGCCTTTTTGCCATACTGTCTATTCGTAACTGGCAGTCGCCTCTATCGCTCCGCTGTCCATTAATCCCTGCTCTGTATTTGGGCATTCTGCTTCCTAAGCACAGCCTTTTAACGGCCTTCAGTACGTTTACATCTCTTGAATTAAGGCATTTTTAAATTGTGACCCTGTTCCTTGAACTCCTCCCTCCCAGCTCGGCATCCTCCCCATGTCAGATGTGCCGGGGTTAACGGATAAAGGAACGGCATGGGGAGACACAACGGAATCCCTTAGGGCCAGACTCAAAAGGCCCTTCCAGCGAATGCTGCAGAAGCAGAAATAAGGACTTAGTTCAGCTCCTTCTAGTATAGGATCAACCTTTAAATCCAGGTACTTCTACTCATAGAACAATACTGGTTTTCGTCTCCAAAGCAAAGAGCAGGATGAACGAGTACGCCGTGGAAGTGCTCTACAAAAAGGAGCACGTGAAAAGGACACGGCATTAAACCAAACTCTCTTGGTTAAAAAAAAACAACACCAAATCCTATTGAAAAACCCACGTTCAAATAAAAGTCAAGGGATTAAAAGAAAACAGGACAAAGCGAACAAATATTCACTGCTTTTGTTGTCTGAAGTCCAGAAGCCGACTACTGAAGCACTTCCACGGGGAAGCGCGAATGCCATCCCAGCCCGAATGCGACTGTTGGAGTTGCACATTTCCTCAGAGCTAAAGGGTGTATTTTTAGGGTATTAAAAGGGTGAAAGTTAAACCAGCTGTGAAATCGTACTGTTGAGCAGACACCATTCCAACGGTTCTCTGCTGTGCTCAAACACCCGTCTGATCTAACCCCATGAATTACGGGGAGTCGGTTTGCCGTGACTCCTCGCCTTAAATAAGGACGCAGACCGGACTCCTACAGCTAATCCTGCTCTGCGCAGAACCTCTGACCTCACCTTGAAGGTCTGCTCCCACCTAAAGGCTCCCAATGCCGGACGACTGCACACGCAGCCCCCAGCACGGGGCAAGCACCTTCTCTCCCGTGACAGCAGCACCTCCAGTCACCTACGGAGCAGCAGTGACCTGTCAACCAGGGAGATGAACGGCTCAACGGCTGTGAGAACAGCAATCTGAGCCATGCTACGAGTAATGCCACCAACAGCTGTGAACTCCACGATCTGCAAAGCCCCCAGGTCTGTGGGGAGGTAGGTCTTGGGTGGAGGAAGCTGGGATCAAGCAAGACACACTTTTTACTCAGAAAAGTGCAAGCAGCACAATCGTATGAACATGTATGGGTACCGTTACCTGTCCAGGCTGTGTGTGAGAGGTAAACCTGAGTTATCAGCCTGTGCCTCCCAGGACCGGGATTTCGGAAATCCGCTGGTTTAGGATGGATTAGCTGTGCTTGTCCATCGGGATACAATACCTACAGGAGGGGAAAACAAAAAGGAAACGACTGAATGACAACTGGACTGGGGATTCATACAGTGTGTGCTATTTGGTATTTACTGTTTCAGTTCGGAAGACAGGAAGGTGGCTCTGTCTTGGAGTCAGGAGTCCAGCTGCCCTAGATTTAACAGACACACACTGGCCATTCGGACCCACAACGCAGGCAGAAAAAGAAACAGAATCACAGAGTGGTTTGGGTTGGAAGGGACCTTAAAGATCATCCAGTCCCAACCCCCTGCCATGGGCAGGGACACCTTCCACTAGACCAGGTGGCTCCAAGCCTCATCCAGCCTGGCCTTGAACACTTCCAGGGATGGAGCATCCACAGCTTCTCTGAGCAACCTGTCCCAGTGCCTCCCCACCCCCTCCGGGAAGAGCTTCTTCCGGAATACAGTGACATCAGCTTCTTCCTCTGCATTGTGAAAAGAGGTTTTTGTTTCTTTGTTATGCAGTGAACGTCAGTGTTTTACTTGGCATCAGACACACCGACCTCCTCAGCTGAGTTTGAAATAGTGATTCCCTGAAGGAATCAGGAAGAAAGTTAAGTTGTAAATACAGCGAGCCTGTGTATCCCTGTACTGTTCAGAAGAGCTTTGTTAGCTCCTCCTTCTTCCCCTGCACGACCTGGAAGTTCACCAGCGTTTATTTGTGCATCTGTGTGTCCGTAACGTGCCCAGTGCAGGTGGAAGCACCGCGGAGCAGAGAACGGCATCAAAGCCCACAACGCAAACTGTCAGGAACCAATCACACAAGTCACCTCAGCGCCCCATATAAAGCCACTTTCTGAACGTGTGGCTAAAACCCAGAAACCCAACCCTGTTGGTAATAAGGTGTACAGTTATCTGCAATTCTGAGGTACTGACATCCTTAAGCAAACTCCCTCTGTGACAGGATCTCATTTGTACTGATGTCAAGCGACTGCTTACCTGAACTTTAACGGTTCCCTGGGGATCCTGCACGTGTTCCAGGGTTGCGTCAACATCCAGTGCCACTACCAACCCCGATGTAAACCTCAGGGGATTATCAGATTCGCCGGTAGGCTCTATGATATTTGCAGTAGCTCTGTGGAGCTGTTACAGGCAAAGCAGTTGGCAAAAACAAGGTTGGGGGAGAAGGAGGAAAAAAAGAAAAGACAATTGTTACTGTTCTTAATGGGGAAATTGTGCATCAACCTTGGATCATTGGAGATACTTGCAGGAATTAAGTTTTCTGTACGTTTAGCAGTAATCCTGAGGATGTTAGGTAAGAAGAAGAAAGCCTCTGGAGAATTAACACTTGGGACTGACCAAGAACCTGAATCCTAAAAGCCTCATGGTATGTTCATAATCAGCTGGATGATAAAACACTCTGCAAGGAAACTGCATTTTAGTTCTGCGTTAAACTGACCTGCTCTGGAAGAGGAAGGTGGAGGAAGGTACTTTGTCGCAGTGTTGTCTGAAGAATCTTGACCACTTCCGAAGGCTTGGATGTCACGAGTCTAGGCATTAAGTCCAGCAATTTATCTACAAAACTGCCTTGCATATGTGGGAGCTCAGAGATGAAACATCTGTGTTAAGAACAAATTAAACATCAAATACTTTCTTCAACAGTGTTATTTTCAGCCAAGGAACTTAATCCTTATCTTTAGTTTTAATAGCAGAATTAGGTATCGTGTAATCATGGAATCACAGAGTGGTGTGGTTTGGGTTGGAAGGGACCTTAAAGCCCATCTAGTTCCAACCCCCTGCCATGGGCAGGGACACCTTCCACTAGACCAGGTTGCTCCAAGCCTCATCCAGCCTGGCCTTGGACACTTCCAGGGATGGGGCACCCACAGCTTCTCTGGGCAACCTGTCCCAGTGCCTCACCACCCTCTCCGGGAAGAATTTCTTCCTGATGTCCCATCTCAATCTCCTGTTTTCAAGTTAAACCCATTACCCCTTCTCCTGTCACTACAGGCCCTTGTAAAAAGTCCCCCCCAGCTTCCTTGTAGCCCCTTCAGATACTGGAAGGCTGCAATAAGGTCTCCCCGGAGCCTTCTCTTCTCCAGGCTGAACAAGCCCAACTCTCTCAGTCTGTCCCCATGGCAGAGGTGCTCCAGCCCTCAGAGCATCTCCATGCCCTCCTCTGGACTCGCTCCAAAAGGACCATGTCCTTCTGCTGTTGAGGGCTCCACAGCTGGACGCAGCACTCCAGGTGGGTTCTCCCCAGAGCAGAGCAGAGGTGGAAAATCCCGTCCCCCATCTTGCTGGCCACACTTCTCTGGATACAGCCCAGGATACAGTTTGGCTTTCTGGGCTGCCAGCACACACAGCTGGCTCATGTCCAGCTAGAATATGTAGACTCCTCTTCTGAAGTGTGTCTGATGCGTAAGATAAAGATGATTTTGGCTAGTTATTTTGGAATTATTCGTTGTGCTCAAATTGAGGACATCAAGGGCTATGCAGGACTCACTTCTTAGGTCCTTCATAAATACATACCATAGCAGGCAAAGGAATCCAGATTCACAAAGAAGGAGGTTGAGGTGCCCAACAACAGCACATTAATGAGGCCCAGATACCGTAGGGATTTGTCTGCTCAGATTGCATGTGCAGCTGTAGTGCTATTTAGATAATAAGAGTACTAATTAAATGAGACTATGGGCAATTCCAGTGCTCTGCACTCAATCTCATTGTCTCCACAAAGAAACACAGCTGGATGAAAGCACTCCTTACAGCTTCTAACACACACACAGGATCTAACACACACCCAGTACACAATTTGTCTGACCTCCTGCTGCAGCAGTTTCCAGAATGGTTTTTCTCTACCGGTATTTATGAGTATTACTTACTACATCTGAAGAGTGAAATTTCAGCAGTTAAGTAGAATCAGCAGGGGAGAAAAAAAAAAAAAAGCCTAGTTCTAGAGGTGAAGAACAGAGAACAGAATCCGTTCTACAGCCTCTCACGAGTGCAGCATTTGGGTTTTTTTGTTCTTTATATAGAAGTAAAACTCGGCTACTACCCTACATCCCCACATGCAGAAGATGCTTCGTTAGAGTGAGTCACTGGTAGCATTACCAGCGACATTCCTGCCGTGCTCAGCAGTTTTGTAAGGTGAGGAAGTACTCATGGAATTTACCGAAAATAAACGCACTGTTTCTGTAGGGCCCCTCCACCCGTCCTTGGCAGGTCTGCTATTGCGCTTGTACCATCACCTACAGTTGAGTCTATAAAGCCTGGAGAGGATATCAGACATTCCCCAAACAGCTCCAGGTTCTAAGGCGCTAGAAGTGAAAGGTTTTCCAGTGGTTCCCCACAGGAGCTCGTAATCCATGACTGGAAGACTCCACCAGCAGCTCAGTAAGACAGAAAGAACTCTCTCCTCTGTAGATGGTGAGCGGGCTATGCAGGAATGTACATCCTTGTATTCCTATGGCTGCCCCCAGACAAACATCAACTGCCCTGTCACGGTATACAGCTAAAAATCTGGCACGCTGAGGCTGCACAACATAGAAACAGGAATTTGACATGTCCGAGCGTTCACAGGCAACCTTACAGCTCACTGACAAGATCTGCCATGATCCACATTCCTTTGTGGAATTCACCACTGTCTGCAGGAGTTCCCTTCCCAACAAAGAGCGATGAGTTTGGCTCATCCTGCGACTGAGTGCGAAGGAAAGATACAGAGCAAGCGAACAGTTCTGGTCATTAGCTACCAAACAAGCTAAACCGTAGGGAACGGGTGGATTGGGTTCCCTCTTCTTCTCATTTAACCAACCACAACTGTCGAGCATATGGATCACAAATAAATGGGAATTTAATCAGAACTAGACTCCCTGATGACAAGACAGTGGTGGGTGTACTTTCTAAAGAAGTAAAGAAGCAACAAAAGGAGAATTAGCAACAAAAGGAGGTCTGAGGAGAATCTAGATCCTTTACTGGACGTGGGGGCAAACACAGTGACAAAGGATGAGGAAAAGGCAGAGGTACTTAACGCCTTCTAAGGCCAGTTGTTCTCCAGATTCAAAGCGCCCTGAGCTGGGAGACAAGGACGGGGAGCAGAATGAAGCCCCCATAATCCAAGGGGAAATGGTTAGTGACCTGCTACAGCACTTAGACACGCACAAGTCCATGGAGCCAGATGGGATCCACCCGGGGGTACTGAGGGAGCTGGTGGAGGTGCTCACCAAGCCACTTTCCATCATCTATAAGCAGTCCTGGCTAACAGGGGAGGTCCCACTCGACTGGAGATTAGCCAGCGCGATGCTCATCTACAAGAAGGGCTGGAAGGAGAATCTGGGGAACTACAGGCCTGTCAGTCTGACCTCAGCGGCAGGGAAGTGTCTGGAGCAGACCATCTTGAGTGCCATCATGCAGCATGTACAGGACAACCAGGTGATCAGACTCGGTCAGCGTGGTTTTATGAAAGGCAGGTCCTGCCTGGCCAATCTGATCTCCTTCTGTGAGAAGGCGACCTGGTCAGTGGACGAGGGAAAGGCTGTGGATGTTGGAAAGGATGTGGATGTTTACCTGGCAGTAGTGTAAAGCCTTTGACACCGTTTCCCACAGTAACTCCTTAAATCCAGTTGGCCTCATGGCTTGGGTGGGTGCACTCTTCCCTGGGCAAAAAACTGGCTGAATGGCCAGGTCCAAAGATTTGTGGTGAATGGAGTTAAATCCAGTTGGCCACACATGGTGTTTGCTCCCCAGGGCTCTGTGCTGGAGCCAGTTTTGTTTAATATCTTTATTGATGACCTGGACGAGGGGATCGAGTGCATCCTCAGTCAGTTTGGGGATGACACCAAACTTGGGGGAGTGTTGATCTGCCTGAGGGCAGGATGGATCTGCAGAGCTGTGTGAGGCCGCTGTGCGAGGGTCAACAAGGCCAAG